GTTTATGTCAGTTGAAAAAAAAAATATTAAAACCGAACTAAACAAACCAAACCGAAAATGTAACGATTTGCCCACCTCTACTGCATCCTAGAGATTTGCGCAAATCTTGTCTCAGCATTGAAACTCTCACTTGTTCCACTAAGTCCCACATTTGAACTCAATAGATACTTCTGTCTCAGCATTATACTATATTTTTATACCCGCACAGGGTGCGGATGGGTCACCTAGTATATATAATTTCAGAGAAAAAGTAATTAGATCTGTACAACTGGACTTGCAATTAACATTAAATAACATAGCTTGTAATAGAAATAAGAATCCACCTTGACCTCATCGAAATGAAAGATTCCATGTACTAATAAAGGAGTGGTGGTTTATCCGCTGGATCGAGAATCACATACATTTCAGATAATTGCAAACCAACCCCGTTAACAATTTGTACTTAGCTATTACACCCATATATTACATTTGTAATAGCCGCCCCCCTTTGTATTGACAAAAGAAGTAGATCTTTTTGTAAGTCATAGGGTCCAGTGATGCACTCAGTGAGACACAAATCCAAAACTTTGGTGATTGGTTTAGCTAACCAAAACACCCTTCTAAAGGAGGAAAATTATCCAAAATACCATCCACTTCAAAATCTCCAACAAACTTATTTATTTTGGCATAGGCACTGTCACTGTGTAGTGTATATTAGTCAACTGGCATTAACAATAAAATGTGGTTTTAACTTTCTTACCCAGTAAATTTTCCATACAAATGTATGCAAGAGCAATCTTATCCATGGCATCTAAGCAAGGTTCTCCAAAAATTATGAAACATAAACATTTAAAATTCTTAGGTTGATTATCTCAAAATCATGGGGAACCTAACTCCTAACCCAAAGTATCTCATAGTTCATACAATATACTTGCTTAAGAACAATAGTTTAAATAATAGAGGATTGCAAATCTTTTTTTTTAATATATGTATGCAATACGTTATGTAATCACGACTGATATGAAATATATTGGTTTCTAAAAGATAAACACGAATAATTCACAGAGTAGAGCTTAATGGGTCTATTAGTATATAATCATCAATGACATAAATGATAAATGTATTCGTAGTAACGTGAAAGCCTAACCTACTTGCCTTAGTTTTAATATAACCTCCAAATTAATTAAACCTTTTTTTATTTGAAAATAAAGAAGAAAACTCTATTTTCCTTTATTTAAGGACGCTGCATTGCTTGCTCATAGACTCAACTCAAGAGTGTAGTGAGAGAGAAAAAAAAAATAAAGAGAGAAAAAAATGGGAGGAAAGGGTGCGATGATGGTGGCTATACTTTGCCTTTGGGCACTCTCTGCAACAACAGAAGCAGTTGTAACAGAGGATGAGCCAGGCTTGATGATGAACTTCTACAGTGACACGTGTCCTCAGGCTGAAGACATCATCCGTGAACAAGTCAAACTCCTTTACAAACGCCACAAGAACACCGCTTTCTCTTGGCTCCGTAACATCTTCCACGACTGTGCCGTCGAGGTCCCTACTCTCTCTCTCAAATGTTCTTTCATGTTTTGCATGTTGTGTTACATAGCTTAATATTAGGTTTGATCTTTTAACTTTAATATTTACTCTGTTTTGTTTTGTTGAGAAAACAGTCATGCGATGCATCGCTTTTGCTGGATTCGACAAGGAGAGAGCTAGGAGAGAAAGAGCACGACAGGAGCTTCGGTCTGAGAAACTTTAGATACATAGAGGAGATTAAAGAAGCTCTCGAGAGGGAGTGCCCTGGTGTTGTCTCATGTTCCGACATCCTCGTCTTGTCCGCAAGAGAAGGCATCGAAGCAGTAAGTTAAAAAACCAAAACATCATGCCGTTTCTTTATTTGTTTATGAAACTGCGTGTTGTTTTTTGGGGGAATATTTTGTTAAGTATGTTTGGCCGTGTGATTGCGTAGGTGGGAGGACCACATATTCCATTGAAGACAGGAAGGAGAGATGGACGTAAAAGCAGGACTGATATGCTTGAGTCTTATCTTCCCGACCACAACGAGAGTATGTCCGTTGTTCTTGAGAAGTTCAAGTCCATCGGTATCGACACTCCCGGCCTTGTCGCCCTCCTCGGTACCATTACCTTTTCTCCTTCCTCGATTATTATTACTCACTAGTGTCCAGCAAAAATGTAACGCTCGAAAGTCAAAAAAGTCTTTCACCAACCAAGTATATAGTCTTGCTTATATGCCCAGTTCATGAACTTTACTCATGCATGAAACACTTTTTAAAATTAGAAAGATCAATGAAACCACTTGAACTAGTGTCGTCGGATCTCATCAGAGTATGCGATCTGAGTTGGAAACTGAAAAAATCCTTATCCGATATCTCACGGTAAAAACGGATAGATCCAAAGTCAAAATTAACCACCAAAGACTATAATACCCTTTGCTTACCCAAGTCTATTGACTCTAACATAAGGTTATTTTGGTCATGCAGATTAAGAATAGTATAGGAAGTACATCGATACGAATTTATTTAGGTCTTTTATTAAGTTGTCGGATATTGTACGATTTTAACATTTTTGTTATATAACGTGTGTAGGATCACACAGCGTGGGAAGAACTCACTGTGTGAAGCTTGTGCACCGTTTGTACCCTGAAGTGGACCCATCCTTGAACCCGGACCACGTCCCTCACATGCTACACAAGTGTCCCGACTCGATCCCTGACCCAAAGGCGGTCCAGTATGTGCGTAATGACCGTGGTACACCAATGGTACTAGACAACAACTACTACCGTAACATTCTAGACAACAAGGGTTTGCTCCTTGTGGACCACCAGCTCGCACACGACAAGCGAACCAGACCAATTGTTAAGAAGATGGCTAAGGACCAGGCTTACTTCTTCAAGGAGTTCACTAGAGCCATCCAGATCTTGTCTGAGAACAACCCTTTGACGGGTTCCAAGGGTGAGATCAGGAAGCAGTGCAATCTCGCAAACAAGCTTCACTGAGATTGCAAAGAGTGAGAAGAGAGAGAGAGAGCGTCTTTGTGTTTGGGGGTTCTCTCTGCACTTTCTTGGCATCGAGTCAAGATGAATAAAAATATATATTTTAAGAAGTTGAAATGAAATGAAATGAAGGGGTGATGATGATGATGTATGATGCATCATAGTGGTGACCACATATGCACTCCTCTTTTGTCTGTGTTGTTTTAGCCTTAATGCTTTAATTATGGTGGTAGTGGTATTTGAGTTAATTAATCTGAATGTTGTTTCTTTGTTGATGTTGGCTTTGTGGTGGGGTTGATGATCGAATGGATGTATGATATGATGGACTGTGTGTGATGTAATATTAAGCAAATGGTGAAATCGTACCTTAATCTTTTATTTAATTTCATGGAGTAATATATTATATGTTAAACAATACCATACAGTACCGTGTATGATGATGATGATATCGATATATTTTACTTCTCTAAAGAATTTTTGGAAGCAAATGACAATTGCTATCAACACGGGAGGGACTCATTAAAAAGATTCCAACGAAAAACGATACAGTATCGTGTACGTTGATGATGATATCGATATATTTTACTTATCAGTAAAGATTTTTTGGAAGCAAATGACAATTGCTATCTATACGGTAAGGACTCATTAAAAAGATTCCAACGAAAAAAGTTCAAAATAAAAGAAACAGGGCCCAAGCATAGAATAAAGTCGAAAGTCACAAAGAAATAAATAAAACATAAAATGGCGTTAGAGTAATAAATACTGAATCACATGACCCACGATGAATTATTAAGGACAAAGACGTTCTAAAATATAGAAAACGAAATATCTAACGGATGAAATTTTACGAGGGTCTGATTTTAATATGCAGTTGTAAGCTATAAGCTATACTTACAAATAATTTTGATTAAAAAAAATATAGTAATAAACGTTAGGTAGACTGTATACTTTTAGTTTAATGCGTAAATGAAAGAGACAATAATGGTGGTGGCGTGTAGACAACAAGGGCAGTGGTGTGTAATTAAGGAATTAAAGACATTAACAGTTTTAATTAGATGAAAATTGTGGAAGTATCGTGACTTAGTAGTTAAAGTTTAAAGATTTTTACACTAGATTGGGGTTGAGAGAGACACTTGGTCTACGTTATAGAGAAACTTATGATCTTATATGAATGAGATAAAATGATACCTTTTTGCACACTACTTGTTAGATTGATAAAAAACACACACACACACTGCTTGTTAGCTTTTGTATCAAATTCTATTTTCTATCTATCAATTTGGGATTCAGTTATTGGTTTATTAATTTTATTCTATAAATACATTTTAGAGTTTTTTTCTCTCTAATTACATTTTAGAATATATGCACCTGATGTACCAATTGATTGAATAAACCTCAATTCCTTCAAAAAATAAAAAATAACTTGCTCCTCTTCTTCATAAGCAGATTGTTCCAGAGATGTTTTTTTTTTAATGTTTTCTCAACGATTCACATGTATAAAATTGTTGCTCCTCCTCTAAATAAACCAGATTGTTCTGCAATTTGTGTAAAATCATTTAACTTTTACACCCAAACAAAAATGTATGAAACCTATCCCACGTCAAATGATTGAATATTCCATAAACATCATCTACTTTTTCTAAAACTTTTCCCCCGTGTAGGGCTGCAACACTTTCCACACATGACTTTAAACAAGTGTTGGGAATCAAAATTTCTGTTATGTTCTTCCTCTTCGATTAATTAATCAATGGAGCTAAAGAAGTCTTCCCTTGTTGTGGCTGTGTGGTACCATTTCTCATCATGGCGCAGAATTCTTCATAGTTTATTCTTCCATCCTGCACCAAGAGACCCGTTACCATCAGTTTTAATTGGCTCATAACTTCTTTTTGTTGGTTGCTATGTAGAGGGAAACATAACTTACATTATCTGTATCTACTTCTGCTATAACTTCTTTGATGCTAGTTTCATCTCCCATACCATACTCTTTCATGGCTGACTCCAACTCATCCATTGTGATAAACCTGTGTTAGCCAAACCCATCTCAGTGTCTCACAATAGTTCTAACTTCCAAGTCTCTATTTTCTTCCTGAACTTACCCGCTGTTGTCTTTGTCAAAGTATTGGAAGGCTTTGAACAAGTGCTCATCTCGGTCCAATCTGTATCTATGCATTGTGGCTGAGATAAACTCAATGTAGTCTATTGTTCCATTTCCATCTACATCTGCCTGAAAACATATATATATATATAAGACTTCTCTTCTTAGATATTATCATTTTAATAACGACTATTCAAGAATGGAAGTACTAACAGCTTCCATGAGTTGTTTAACTTCAGCTTCAGTGAGTTTAGAACCGAGTCTAGCCAGCCCGGTTTTCAGCTCTTCATAAGTGATTGTGCCACTTTGATCAGTATCCATATTCGCAAACATGGTTTTAAGACCTTTGATTTCCTCTTCTGATAGACTCTCTGCAATAACCTGCAAATAAAACAATATCCAAAACACAACCAATGATCAGACAGAACATAAGAGAATGCTTACAAGAGAAAATTGTAGTTTTTTTTTTTTTACCTTTAGTGCTAGCTTCTTAAGTTTGTTCATTGCTCGGAATTGCTTCATCCGAGATAACACAGCACTATCAATAGGATTATCCGGCGCTTCTCCACCTCTGATCCAAGGATGTTCTATGCAAACATTACATAACCACACTTAATATTTTGTTTAGTAGACTAATATTAAAGAGATTAAGTGGATAATACCAAGAGCTTGCGCCGCAGAGATTCGTTTCTTAGGGTCCTTAGTGAGCAACTTTCTCACAAGGTCTTTAGCACTCTCAGATATAGATGGCCATGGTTGGCTCTCAAAATCAATTTCTCCTTTTATAATCTCCTCAAATATCCCCTTCTCAGTTTCTACAATGCAACAACCACAACAACATAAGCATAATTATATGAATAAACAAATCAAAACAACTTCTCAGCATTTATATTACCTGCCCAAAAAGGAGGCACACCACAAAGCAAGATATAAAGAATAATCCCTGCACTCCAAATATCAATTTCTTTTCCATAACTTCGTCTTAATACTTCAGGAGCAACATAGTAAGCACTTCCTACTATATCTCTGTACACTTTCCCTGTAGATTATTTTTTCAGTTTAGAACACATGAACCATATGTACTATATAGTCTATAAGAAAATGAAATAACATTCTTTAAGTTATAATCTATTCTATATCCACAACATAACTCAAACATTCATCATAATCTCAACAAATCTAAAACAATAACTAGAAAACAAGGATTTAATTACACATCTAACCTTCTTCAATGAACACAGACAATCCAAAATCAGTAGCCTTAAGCATAGCATCCTCATCTTTACTACTCAACAAAAAATTCTCAGGCTTGAGATCACGATGCATCACACCCATGAAATGACAAATCTGCACAACGTTCAACACCGATCTAATAACACCAGCAGCTGCTCTCTCAGAGTAATGCCCCTGAGCTATAATCTTATCGAACAGCTCACCACCACCACAAAGTTCCATCACGAGATGTATTGATTGTCTATCCTCGTAAGCGCCTCTGATCTCGACGATGTTCTGTTGTCCTGACAAATGGTGCATTATCTGAATCTCTTTCTTCACGTCGTCTCTGTCTTGCTTCCTCGTTAGCTTCCGTTTGAGTATGGACTTGCACGCGTACGTGTTCCCCGTTGAGTTCTCCTTGCAAGTGTAGGTTATACCGAATTGCCCTCGACCTATCTCGTGACCTAACGTGTAGAGTTTCTTGATCTGTTCAAAGGGTTTGCCTAGAATCGTCTCTGCTTCTCGGAGAACGATTGGTTTGGATGGTGTTGTTGTTGAAACATGGTTATCTCCGGTTTGCTGGTTAACGGGTTTGGATTCTTGTTGTGGATTATGATGATGATTCTGGTTCGTTGTCGGAATTGGAGGATGTGTCTGTTTCTGAGTCTCGGTGACGTCACGAGAGACATGAGTTTGTGATTGGTTTGTCGGGGCTGACCTCTGTTCGCTGCCTTTGATGACGTCACGGGGGACATTAGTTTGTGATTGGTTTGTCGGAATGGAGTTATGTACGTTTTCATTGATGACGTTACGAGGGAGACCGGTTTGTGATTGGTTTATTGGAATTGAGCTCTGTACGCTGCCATTGATGGCGTCACTCTCTGGTCTGCGATGTTTGCTGCTGAAGCAACCCATTTTAGGGTTTTTTTTTTCTTGTGTTCTAGGTTAGAGGAAGAAGAAGAAGAAGCAGGATCAGGGCAATGAGGTTTTCTCGATCTCACAAGTTTTGTTTGTGTAAGAAAAAATATTTTGATTTCTTTCCGTCAATGTTCCGCAGTCATTCACGGTTCTGATCTTTCCACGAATATATTCCATTTTTAACATCATGATGACATTCTTATCTAGTGCTTAATTGCTCAAATCTTATGGACAAATCATATTTATAGCTTTTAATATTTAATTATTAAAATTTAAATACCGTTAGAAGTTGTTTGGAAACATGAAACTATGGAAAAAAATATGTTTAGAAATATACATAACTGTATTAAAAAGACTTTAACACTAATATTTTTTTATTAATCATATCTTATTTTACAAATATATTTTGTCTATTATTTACTAAATAATAAATATTGTATTATGATAAATCAGTTAATATATATTTTATCTATTATTTACTAAATAATATATATTTTTCTATTATTTACAAAATGGTATACATTTAAAATATATAATGTTTACATAAAAAATATAAATCAATATATATAAAAAACCTAATATTCTTACGATTCACGGATTGATTAAATTAATTAACATTAAACCTAACTTAACCATTAAAACCGGTCTGGCTCCACACGGCGTCTCTAACGCGTCTCATGTCTCTTCCTTTTAACGTCCTTCCCACGCCTAAAAACACCGAGGAACCACCGTTACCGTCACGGCTGCGCGCCACGTATTCATGAGGCGGAACCATCTCACTCTCCCAGTCCTCATCGTACACGTCAGCAGCATTAGTGGTATTATTATAATGAATTGACTCTACAGACTCTACCTTTAAGATCTTGCTCCAGTCAGGCACTTTCACCGGCGCAGAACTCGCCACGTGTTTCTTCCTCCGTGCATCAACGTTCTTGGTCAGGCCACCCATGAGGTCTCCGTTTGGTCCGCCGCTAGTTTGGAGGGAGTGTGCGGTCCACACGTTTTCTTCTGTTGGTTCATCATGAGCCTCCATCACCGACCATACATCCTCTTCCATGAGCTCCAGCTCGACTGCGGCTTCTCCATCCACGTCACCGTGACCGGAATGATGATGATACCGCTCACTACGACTAATCGTTAATCTGCGACCTTTGCCCATATTATCTCTCAGGGAAAATGTATAGACGCTTCTGTTAATTTGCGATAAGTTATCAGTATGCCCCTTCTAATCAAAACCAAAACATTTTTGGATTGTTACAATATGTTTGAATAACTCTTATTGCTTTGTATTAATGACTGAGAAGATCGAGGATGATGAAGTATAGCATGTGTGAGGTATATATATGGAAAAAAGTTTCTCAGCTACACGAAGTTTACACTAATATGGTGGAAACCATCCAATGTATAAAAATGTGTCAAGAACTACACGAAGTATATGTTAATACATGCCACATGTACGAAGTAAATGATATTATGGTGACAACATCACAATCGGATTTAATTGTTCTTAAGCTAAGTTTATGGGGTCAATCCGTAATTTATGAAACTTAATAAACTTAATTGAGTTTAATTATTAAAGTCAATAAAATTAATAAACTTAATAAACATAATATTTTAAAAAACTTAATAAAATTAAGAAACTTAATATTTTTTGTTAAACTTAATAAATTGATTAAACTTAATAAAATTATTAAACTTCATAAACTTAATAAACTTAACTAACTTAATAAGATTAAGTTATTAAACTTAATATACTTTAACAAACTTAATGATTTATTAAGTTTAATACATCTTATTAAGTTTAATAAATCTTATAAAGTTTATAAAGTTTTTAAAAATTATTATGTTTAATAAGCTAGAATCCTAAAACTAATAAAAAATAATTTAATAAATTTATTAAGTTTAGTAGTTTAATAAATTTATTAAATTATTAAGTTTATTAAGTTTGCTAAGTATATTAAGTTTAATAACTTATAAACTTAATAAGTTATTAAACTTAATATACTTAGCAAACTTAATAAACATAAAAATTTAATAAATTTATTAAATTATTAAACTTAATAAATTTATTAAATTATTTTGTTTATTAGTTTTAGGATTCTACTTATTAAACATAATAATTTTAAAAAACTTTATAAACTTTATGAACTTAATAAGATTTATTAAACTTAATAAGATGTATTAAACTTAATAAATCATTAATTTTATTAAATTTGTTAAGTATATTAAGTTTAATAACTTATTAAGTTTATAAGTCAATAAGTTTGTTAGGTTTATTAAGTTTATGAAGTTTAATAATTTTAATAAATTTATTGTTTGATAAATTTATTAAGTTTAACAAAAAAAATTTATTAATTTTATTAATTTTATTAAGTTTTTAAAAATATTATGTTTATTAAGTTTATTAATTTTATTAACTTTAATAATTAAAATCAATTAATTTTATTAAGTTTCATAAATTACGGATTGACCCCATAAACTTAGCTTAAGAACAATTAAATCCGATTGTGATGTTGCCACCATAATATCATTTACTTCGTACATGTGGCATGTATTAACATATACTTCATGTAGTTCTTGACACATTTTTATACATTGGATGGTTTCCACCATATTAGTGTAAACTTCGTGTAGCTGAGAAACTTTTTTCCTATATATATTTGTGAAGAGTACTGTTTGCATCAAGTCCACGTCAAATCATCAACACAGTAACTAATATATAATTGTATTTCTTCTTGTTATTATGATGAATTTGAATTTACTTTCCTAAAGTTGAGACTTATATCAACCATCTATCCAAAAGATTTCAGTCATAACCCAATTTATTTATAGGTGCCGACGCTTTGCCGTGCGTTCTAAACTTTATAAACCTTTAGTTAATATTTTATATTTCCTTTATTAATTGACTTTTTTGAACAACATCTAGGTTGCTCCTCTATTGATCCGATAATATAAGGACGATTCAAACAAATAAGCTATATCTACGGTTAATAGAAAATGTAGTTTTACTTAATTTTATTTCAGTGTATACAACTGTAGTGGGGGCTACATCAACATCTCCGCATGGGCAAGCACATAAGACATGTCGCAGTTCAGCTGTGTGACACGTTTACACTCATTGCAAGCGGTCCAACTATTTTGTCTATTAATGCCGACACTTGGCCTAATCTGAACCCAACGATAGCGGTTAGATTAAGACCGGACTCGACGAGGGTGTTGCTGGATTTTGGAATGGATGGCATGTGGTGCCTCATTGTTCTGTCTTTTCTTTCTCTTTATTTTGCCTCAATTATTTGTGATTTTATTAATTAATTTTATATTTTTTATTAAACAAATTCAGGCCGCCTTTTTTTCTTTTTTTTTTACAACACTTAAACCTTTATTAATTGACTTCTTATTGGGCCCCTAGGCAAATTTTGTTTTTATGAATTATAGATAGCCTTAACTTCTTATTGGACCCCTAGGCAATTTTTGTTTTTATGAATTATATAGTCTTATAGATGATTAACCACATACTATTATGGGGTCTTTGTTAGGAAAAGAAAAACCAAAATTAGGACCGTTTGTGTCATTAAAATTAATTGATTTTAGGGGGGATCTTGGGCGAATGCACTGTTTGTCTTTCCTCTTGAGCATGCGCTGATCAACTCTATCGTTTTCAGTTTTCATGTTTTCAGTTGATAAACATGTGACATGTCCAAACATTTTTGTTAAATAATGTTAAGTTATAAACTAAAAAGTTGATATTTTCTTCTTCGTTTTGATTAGCCATGAATCCTACGAAATATGTGTGAATCATCGTCCATATGAATCGCTGATGTGTTATATGATTGATTGGATATATATAATTAGGAAAAACCTCACGAAATTTATGTATTATAGAAACACGGAGTTTGATATATTTTAAATTTGTTTTTAAATTTATGGAATTGTGTTCATCTTTGGTTCACACTAGTTTTCCATATGATTTGTTTATGAATTGTTTGTGATTGGTGTGATTGTAAATTTGCATTGTAGAGTTTGTGAGATATTGTATTGTTTTATGTAAAATGGTGGTGTGAGTTTATTGTATTAATCAAATTTATTCAGTTTTTAATGCCTAAGTTCTAATATGGCATTCTAATTGTTAAAAGTAAATTTTGATTTTCTAAATAATACTACCTAACCATGAGCTAAAATATTTAGCTTAAATTATGAAAATAAATTTTATAATTTACTTGTAGTGATAACTAATAACATATGTCATACCAATTTTGCTTAATTATGAAAAAAATTATCATTTACTTGTAATATTAACATGAATCATACCATTTTCAAAGGTTCATTTTGCCATCTAAAAAAGTATATTGAATGACGATAGAAAGACCAAAATTAGTTAATGAAATTTATTACAATGTTGATTTGTACTTTTGATTTAAAATTTATGTATTATATAAATTAAATATCTTAAACTCATGAGATTTAAATCTTGCTTTGTTTTGCTGTATGTCATTACTCTTAATTTCTAACAAAACGTTATTAACAATTTAAATTATTTTAAAATATTTTCTATTTGAAATGCAAATAAAAATAAAGATATCAAATTTAAATATGTTTTTATATTTTTGAAAAAAAATTCTTATATTTTAATAGTTAATATATAATATATATTAAAATTCATCAACTTATTAACATGTATTTCACTTACGATTGATCTAATAGTCGAGTGAAAGAAAAGTTAACTGATTCAATATCCGGATCGGATTTAAAAATCTTGCATATAAGATTACAAAATCAAGTGGTCACACACATATTTACAATATATATAGCCATGATTATTACAAACCTAAAATTTAGTGATTGATATATATAACGAATATATTGTATGTATTTTAATGTGAATCAGCATAAAACTCCCGTACATGGAAATTATGATTACATTGGCAAATCTTATTCTATATTATTTGGACGCTACTCCCAGTAATTATAAGGGATACAAATATTTATAAAATCACTTGGACATACGAGAAAGTCGTATACCATGTGAATGTCTAACATAACATTAATTTTAAGTTTATTTTGGTCTAAACATTTTAAGTTCTTTGTAAATATATTTATATGCATCAGTATACAAGCATTTGAGTAGATGAACAACAATGTTTGGACAATTCGAAACAGAAAGTTACAGAAAAAAAATCGTACGAAACAGAAAAATACTTCTAAAGTTCACATTTAACAATCAAGAAGTAGAACAATAAAATGCTACTAATAATATTCTTAAGAAGCAAAAAATGATATTTCAATATTCATACGAAAAAATAAAAACGTAGAACAATACGTAGAGATGCTCTGCCTTTGGGAGAAAACCTGCAACGAAGAGGAATAAGTTTAGATGTGAGATGCAAAAGGTGTATGGAGGTTGAATCATCGGACCACCTCTTTATACATTGCCCTTTTGCAAAGAAAGTCTGGGCAAATATACCTGTGAAAGAAGCAGTTCACATAGCTGCAACCGATAATTGTCCTAAGGCATTGGTCAAATTTCGAAATGCTACATGCCTCCCCCCGACAGGAGTATCTTCGGCTATCTTCCCTTGGGTTGTTTGGTCTATATGGAAGGACCGAAATCTGCTAATCTTCGAAGGAAAATCATCTACACCTGAGGACACAGCATCAAGAAGTTTAGCCCTAGCAAGAGAATGGGCATTTGCACAATCAACAACAGATAAATCTCCAGCCTACCTACGGCCAGCTTTGACCACTACTTTAGAACAAGATCAACCTCTCCCTCATGCGATTATGAAGACGGATGCGGCTTGGGACTCCACTCGGTACCGAGCAGGCCTAGCTTGGATTTTATGGGATGAATCAGGTAGATCGATGGATCAGGAGGCATGGACACAAGATCACGTCGAATCGCCGTTAATTGCTGAAGCTTTAGCGGTTAGAGAGGGACTCCGTAAGACAGGGAGTCATGGGATCCCAAATCTCAGGCTCTACTCCGACAACCTAACGCTCATCAGAGCAATTTCAAACAAGAAGCAGAAGAAGGAACTACTGGGAATCATCAAAGATATCCACCTTCTAGCATCTGCATTTGTTTCAATCTCTTTTTTTCATATTGTAAGGAAAAACAACGAGGAAGCCGATGCGTTGGCAAAACAAATCCTCAGACTCTCGCTTCTGTAATTCGGACCCTTTTGGGCTGGGCTTCTGGGCCTTCTCTTAATTTGAAGTTTTATCAGTGACAAAAAAAAAAAAAAAAAAAAAAAAAAGACTCGTAAAACATAACAACAGCTTTGATGTATCTAACATGTCAAAAACATATCAAATCAATGGTTCTTGTATGTAATTTATCAAAGAGGTTGCATATAACATGAAACCATGATCATCTCGTGCCTCGTGGTTAGTTAGGGTTCAAGATCTGTGTTTACCTTTTCTCAATTTTGTTATTATATTATATGGTATCTATTTACTAACCATGATCATCTCGTGACTTGTGGTA